TCTCCCGTCTCTCTCACAAGTCGCCAAAAAAGCTTAGCATTTGCTCTGCTCTCAAGCAAGTAGCCTATACCTCAAGCTTAAAAACTCTCTCATGGGTCACCAAAAACTCGGTCTCAAAAGATGTAGCTCTCTCACGAGTAATCCTCAAACTCTGTCTTTCTCTCGTGCAAGCGGCCTGCCTCTCTCTTCAGATAATCATGTTAAATATTTTAATATTTAGAATAACATTATTTTTGCNACTCCCTCAAAAATTCAAGATATCATCCATCGAAACCTTTGATGGTATGAAGGATCCATTGGACCACCTTGAAACTTTTAAGACCTTGATGCAACTGCACAACGTCCTTGACGAAATCATGTGTAGAGCGTTCTCAACCACCTTGAAGGGATCCGCTCGACAATGGTTCGCCAATATCACTCCCGTTTCCATCGGCTCATTTGCTGAGTTGAGTAGGTCCTTCGTGTTGCACTTTATTGAAGGACGCCGTCACCCACCTGCTCAGCAAAAAGCAGGACCGAGATGAGAGCCTGCGAAGCTACCTCACTCGTTTTAATGAGGAGGTCCTTAAAGTCGAAGAGCCCGATGAAAAAGTCAACATGACCGCCTTCTTGGGAGGCCTTCGGTCATCGAGCTTGCTTTTCTCTATGATGAAATGCCCACCAAAGAGCATGCCAGAACTATTGGCAAAAGTTTAAAAATTTATGAATGTTGAGAAAATCAATAGGTCCAGGCGAGGTGAATCATCTCACGGATCACCAAAAACTTGACTTGCCTCTACACTATTCTTAAACAAGTAGTCTATCTCCAGCTTAACGGCTCTCTCAAGGGTCACAAAAAAGCTTGGTCTACCTCTACACTGTTCTTAAACAGGTAGTTTTTCTCCAGCTTAGCGGCTCTCTCGAGAGTCACCAAAAAGTTTGGCCTACCTCTACATTGTTCTTAAGCAGGTAGTCTATTTTCAACTTAACGACTCTCTCGAGGTTGCCAAAAAGCTTGGCCTACCTTTACACTGTTCTTAAATAGGTAGTCTATCTCCAACTTAACGGCTCTCTCAAGGGTCGCCAAAAAGCTTGCCTACCTCTGCACTGTTCTCAAACAGGCAACCTATCTTCAGCTTAGCGGCTCTCTCGCGGGTCGCCAAAAAAGCTTGGCCTCTGCACTGTTCTCAAACAAGTAGTCTATCTCCCGTCTCTCTCACAAGTCGCCAAAAAAGCTTAGCATTTGCTCTGCTCTCAAGCAAGTAGCCTATACCTCAAGCTTAAAAACTCTCTCATGGGTCACCAAAAACTCGGTCTCAAAAGATGTAGCTCTCTCACGAGTAATCCTCAAACTCTGTCTTTCTCTCGTGCAAGCGGCCTGCCTCTCTCTTCAGATAATCATGTTAAATATTTTAATATTTAGAATAACATTATTTTTGCCATCTTTAGCCAGGATCTTGAAACTCAGGTCGTCTGCAACCCGAGGGATTACCTTAGATTGAATGTCAACAATCGGGGTCTCATCCATCTAGCACTCAACGCCTAGCCAGCGGCGCCAAGAAGTGCCTGACCCCTTCTGTCAGTGCCTGGAGGGGCGCCTAACCTTTTATGCTCACCCAAAATGGTGCTCTATGGCGCTTGCACACCAAGGCCAGCCCTCTTTTCTCCACCTTGCTCGCCTGGATTATCGACTAAGGCATACCCATACTTGCCCAAAGCATGATCGCCCAAGCTCTGCTCGCCTAAAGGACTGCCCAACACAGTAGGAGCCTCCCTGGTTTGCTCGCCCAGATCGCCAAGGCTGTCTAGACCGCCAGCCTCACAAGCAACCCGTTCACCCAAAGCCTCTGTTGCCTTGCCAACATGGGTGCCCAGCCCTCGCCCAGTAGCCAGTCCTACGGGCCATGCACCTCTATCTCTTCTCCAGGGGACAACACCAACATTTCCAAGTTGCACACCAAGATTTGCAGACCTTAGCACATGATCTCCACCATTCGACATTGTTCGAAAAAAAAAATTTGCCTAGGAGGTTGTATGCTCGCCTAGGAGGTGGCTTGCTCACCAAGGAAGTGGCTTGCTCGCCCAAATGCTGGCTGTTCGCCCAAAAATGTGCCCCTAGCTCCGTACTCGTTATTTTGACCGTAACTTTTGGTCTGTAACTCAAAATGGGGCTTATAATTACCAAATCAAAGCTCTTGATGAGCTGAGCAAACTATAATGAGTTTTTCAAAAAAAAGTCCAAAAAATGTTCAAAAAGAGGTGTTTTGGCCTCCCGAAGTTTTTAAAAAAAAAAAAAAAATTTGCTGCTCGCCCAAGACACTGCCAGCACGCCCAGGATGCTGCTTGCTCGCCCAAAAATGCACATACAACTCTTTGCTCACTATTTTGACTGTAAATTTTGCTCTGTACCTCAAAATGGGACATATTGTATACTAAATCGAAGCTCTCGACGAGCTAAGCAAAACTCATTACCTTTGGTAATGAGCTTTTCGAAAAAAGTCAAAAAAATGTTCAAAAAGGTGTTTTGGCCTCCCGAAGTCTTTTCTTAAAGAATAAAAAATTTAAAAAAAATAAAAATTCAGCTCGCCCAGGAAATTTTCTGCTCACCCCGCACAGTATGTGTGTGCCCAAAAGTGGTCTGCTCGCCTAAAACATGCACCCAGCTCCGACTCGAAGTTTTGACCGTAACTTTTGCTCCGTTTCTTGAAATGAGGCTTATAATATATCAAATCGAAGCTCTCGCGCGAGCCCTACAAGATTCACAATCTATGGCTATGATTGATGTTGTTGAAAATGAATGTTTTGGCCTCCTAAAGTTTTTTCAGTTATGTCGGTCAGCCAAAAATTCAAATTCAACTTAAATGTCCTCCTTTCCAAGTTCTATTGGACGCAGGGCATTGAGGGACAAATGATGGGCCAGGCCTAAAGGCCTAACCCATGTTATAAGCCTGGTTCCAGTTAAAAGCCCAATGTTAAGAAATCCAACTAGTCAAGCCCAAATNCAGGGCATTGAGGGACAAATGATGGGCCAGGCCTAAAGGCCTAACCCATGTTATAAGTCTGGTTCCAGTTAAAAGCCCAATGTTAAGAGATCCAACTAGTCAAGCCCAAAGGAGTATACACCCGCATAACCTTATCAAGATCAAGGAGCTGTAGGAAACATGCATGGTTATCCAAGAGCCTCCTCTACCACCTTGGAGTAAGGGTCATCCAAGGGTCTTTTCTACTACCTTGGAGTAAGGGTCATCCAAGAGTCTCTACGCCACCAAGGAAGCATCCAAGAGCCTCACCCTTACCACCAAGGGAGCATCCAAGAGCCTCACCCTCGCAGCCTGGAGAGAGTCAACCTCCCTCATTCTTGAACAAGTCCTTTGGAGAGCACACCAACTGTCACACCTCACCCGTTGAGAAAATGGTAGGTCGCCTTTGCCAGATCAGCTACCTAATTACTATCAAACGGTCCTAAGTCATTATGACCGTCAGACTAGTCATACAATTACTATACCAAGCCACTATAAATTGTAAGCTCCCCTAACACTTGGGGGGCATCAGACTCATTTGAGCATAATTCTCTTTTTCCCTCTCAAAGCTTGTAATCATGTGCTCTCCCTCCACGACGGAGATAATAAAATTCTGGCGAACCTAGCAATTCAAAGTGGACGTAGGTCGTATTGACCGAACCACTATAAATCTTGTCTTCTCTCTCCTTCTACTTACTGCATTTTATACTACAACTTGACTAATGGTGTGCAAACTAATTTGTGCATCATCAATTGGAATTCTTCATATTAAATCTCGTTAAGACCTTGCCTATGTATAAGGATTGAGATAACATGAGCAACCATCTAGAGTTATCTCTATAGACCTTTATACCTAGTATATTGGATACTTCTCCCAAATCCTTTAATAGAGAAATTATATGAAAGCTATAGTTTGACCAATGAGAACATCCCAACATCATTCCAAATGAGTAGGATGTCGTCTACATAAAATATCAAAAATGTGATAAAAACTTCTACTAACCTTTTTATACATATTTGGTTCATCCATCTTTTAGAGGAAACCAAATGATTTGATTATCTCGTCAAATTGGATGTTCCAACTTTGAGATGCTTTCTTTTAATTCACAAATGAATCTCTGTAACTTGTACACATTATGGCCTTCACCGTTGGATACCAAACCTTCTAGCTGCTCTATATAAATATTTTTCTCAATGTTTCCATTAAGAAAGATGGTTTTGACATAAATATGTCATATCTTATAGTTATAGTGTGCAGTTATATTAAGCATAATCCTGATGAATTTTAGCATGACTACTGGTGAGAAGGTTTCTTCATAGTCAACTATTTGTCTTTGTTTGAAACCTTTAGCCCCTAGTCAAGCTTTATAGGTCTCTACCTTTTCATCTAAGTCTATATTCCTTTTGATTAACCATTTGCAGCCAATAGGTGCAATACCTTAAGGTGAGTATACAAAAGCCTAGTCTTGATTAGATTATATAGTATTCATCTCAAATTTCATGACATTTTGTCATGTTCTTGAGTTGATGTCGGGCATCGTCTTTGTGTAATTTATAGGATCATTAATGATCATTGTAACCAATAAAGAGTTTTTTTTATCACTTTGATGAGATACCTATATCTTTAAGGTGGTACGGTAAACTTATGTAGTACTAGGTTATATATCAATAGGGTATTTAGGTTGATCATGATTGTTTGCGGTTCTGAGGATGTTTTCTCAAATTTTGTCATTCTTCTTATGCATTCATGTTAAATAAACTCTTTTTCAAAAAAGTAACAAACTTAAAAAATTAATTACCCGAAGTGGACTTGTGCCCCTTTTCCCCTTTTTTTTTTTGAATGACCATAAGTTAAAGGGGGCAACTTTTAATTAACCCCAAAATAAAATTGTGAGAAAGTAAGGGCAATTGTCAAATATTGATATCCGAGGGGGCGTCTTTAGGAATTCGGAGTTTATTATAGGTTCCCAAATCTCCTAAAGCCTAAAGGCTCGATATCAACAGGGGTTTCTTTCTCCGACCGTCTGGCTCTGGCTCTGGCTCTGGTAGTTCTGTAAGTGCCTTTTTTAAGATCATTATTAAAGAACAATTAAATTTCTTTTTTATTTCTCAGAAATTTCAACAATTGCAATCCGATAAAAGACAAATCAAAAAAAAGAAAATAAAGTAGAAATGCAAGGAGAAGGTAACGAAGAGCTCAGCATAGAAGAACTCGCTTCAAATCTCTCTACTTACAAAGAGCAGCTTCAACAGGTACCTATTAAACACTGTATAAATATATATATATGGTGTGAGTGTGTGTGTGTATACATACCTGTTTGTGTACTGGAAAATTTTGTAATCTATCTGTTTTCAGGTAAAATTATTATTTGTGATCTGCTCACTGAAATTCTATGAAAAGCATTGTATTTACGCCTATTCTGGAAACCGTGAGAAGTAGGAATTTAGCTTTGTTTATTAACAATCCACTTAGTTAGGGCTTTTCTTTTTTAAATTAGAATTTTCTGTGTCATTTGTAATCTGAAAGATTGAATCTTTAAATGGATCGAGTATGTTTTTATAAGGATTATTTGGATTTCTACGGCCATTTCTTTGGTATGGAAAATTCTTGGATTAATTAGGGCTTTTTTTGAACCAGTTAGATGTAACTGCAGTAGCTGAATTAGTAACTTGTTGTTTGTCACTTTGTGGGATGGATTTTACTTCAGTATGAATTTTTTAAGCCATAGTTAGCGGTTTTGCAACTCATGTAGATGTAATTTTGAGCCGTGAAAACATTTTCACATTATATTATATACTAGTGTCAATTCAACTTCTTGACACTATAAGATGTGGGATTTGCCCAGATTATCACTGGCAGGCATTTGATGGTGTGTTTGTCTCAAACCCGACGCAATTTTTATCACTGTACTAGTTGACGTAGCTGGTATGCCAAAGTGTATCTATGAAGGAATTCGTTATTCCATGAAGATTAGACCCAACTGGGCTGCAAAAGCTGATGGGATGGATGTCAAATAACAGCTTGGTGCTTTTGGTGTAATTTGAAAGGCAACTTCATTGGCTATGGATGAACTATCTATGTATGAATTCCCACGTCTCATTGTTGCCATTTGATGATCTGTATCAAATAGCATTGATGTTTTAGGAGGAGATTACAACCATTTATCTACTTGTTAATATTGAAGGCTGTAATGACTACCAAATTGAAGAAAGTTAGAGGCACCTATCAAACTTCATATTCTTCCTTGGTTGCTCATATTCACCATTTTGAATGAGATTTTTTCTTGTGATACTGGTTTAAAGATAAATGTATAAGCATTGCACTTCCTCTACATCAAGGATCTCATTTGGAATTTGACCACCTATCCTGGGTTGGTCGTTAGAGATTTTAGATACTGAGTTGGTAAGATCCTTTCGTTATGTAATGTTCCATTCTATGTAGATGAAGATCACTGAATTAGGTGGACGTCGGGTGGTCATAATATAGACATTGTCCTACGCAATTTTTAATTCCTTATCCATAGAGCACATCTACATGTTCTTTTGTGTGTTTGTGTATGTGTGTGTGTTTTGCATGCTTCCTAGGGATGGTAGTGGACTGGGAGAAAATGAGTATTCGTACAAATCTGTCCCATTTGGATCAGGGATGGACCATACGTATTGGAAGTGGACTTATACGTGGATGCCACTATTAAGTGAAACTCACATTTGTTATACATATTATTTTTGTGAGTTTTTATGTTTGATACATTTAGTATATAATGAGTTTTCATCCTTATTGCAAATTCACTTGTGAGATTTTATGATTTTTTTATATTTTTTTTTCTTAAAATCACAGAAATTAATTGTTTTGAGTGAGAATAGTGGCGGGGATGGGGATTAAAATTTTCCTAGCTAATGGGGGTGGATGAATATCTTTGAAACAGATACGGGAGTGGAGACTACTCCCCCACCTCAGTCCACTGTCATCCCTAATATTGCTCCCCTTTTGATATTTCTTCATGCCAAAGTGAGACTTTCTTCACACACTTGGGTGTGTCAGAACCATAGTTGTCAAATCGTATATCAGAAGGCGTATTATTTTTTAAAAATAGTATATCGTATCGTGCATCGTGTATCGTAAGATACGTGCAATTTTAATTTTAAATAATTATTAATAAAATATATGTATATACTTTTATAAAAAAGTCATAGACTCATAATAACATAGTATTTCATTAATATTCCACCAACTATTTAAGTTTCTAACATAGTTCAGTAATATCAAAATGCAAAGACCTCTAATTCAAACTTCTAACATCAACTACTTGAACAACTTTAATATTAATCAGGAATTTTGAATTTAATTGAACAATATTAACATTAGATTTTATTTATTTTTTTTAAACTATAACCACTGAAACAATGTTGTTTCAATAGTTAGTGATTTAAAAATAAGTTTTAGGATAAAATGATGTCATTTCAACCCAAAAAAATAGAATCGTCACGTATCGGGTGTATCGTATCGTGTATTGTACGATACGGTGCAAAAACGATACAAAGACACGATACATATCATTTTTCAGGTGTATTGTGACGTATCGTATGATACATATCGCGTATCGTACGATTCTAATAACTATGGTCAAAACTTTGTATTTTGGACTTTTTTTTCCTCGCTTCCCTATCTAATATCAACACTTCTTTTTAGTGTAAGATATTGAGGATTAGTCTTTGTTATAGGATTCATTATGCATCAACTCCTTGACTTAGAAATTTGTTCCAAATGCTGAGTGATGGAGTGGTCTAAAATATGCTTAGTTGTGTGGCTATCATGGATAGTCCTTGTACTAGTACTACTTGCGAATTGGTCTGATTAGAGTACTTCCTTGTTTTGCTTTTGGTGATACTTCTACAACCTTTCTCATTTGTATGTGGTCATGGATCATTTGGTTATAAAGTATTAGAAAATTGAGTTGCTGGTCGTAGGTACGGATTATGATGGTAAGCGATGAGAATGACATGTCACCAATGAGTCAATGTTCTATGTAATTGAATCATGACGTGAGATGATGAACCTTGCGTGGATTTTTTTTTTCTGTAAACTAAAACCACGGCTTGATGTGACGTTGTATTACTTATTAATATATGTTGTATGGAATTTTGTGGCACGTCTTTGGTTGAAAAGTGTTCAATTTTTTATCCAGAGATTTCAGGAAATGGACATTCCTAAGTCTGTTCTATTCATATCTACCCTTTGTTAGATGAAGTGTTTGTCTATCCCATGTCTGGTTTCAAAGGATGCCATCTAGGTGGTTAGTTTTATTGTGTACTTCACGTCCCTGTTTATAATATGAACTTTGGTGGAGAAGAGATAGGAGAAGCTCTTTGTTTTGGGAGAAATAGGGAGGTGTAAAGTACTAGTTGGTTAGTGGAAGGTGGTCTGCTTATTGTTGAGGACGGAAATAGAAGAGAAGAGAAAGGGGAGAGAGAGGAAGATAGGGGGAGGGGGGTGGGGACATACATTAAACAATCTTGCAAAAATGGCTTTGACAACATCATTGGAGCAAAACAATTTGTGGCTTATTGAAGCAACACATGGTAGCAATGAGAGATGTTAGAAACCCCTATGGAGTGGGATTATAAAAGATCATATGTAGAGCTTGAAGGCATTCTCTCAAAATTTGTTATCTTGTGGTGATAGCTAGGTAATTAGTAGTTGGAACCCCAACTTTACGTTGTCTCCTTTTTTTGTTTGTGGTTGAGAGCCAAAGTTAGTGGACACTTCTATGTGTCTTTGATATGAAGTTACTTTTGGTTGTGCTTTTGGTCGGCCTTCTAGAAGCTTCACATTCGCCAAAAGTGACTACCTTTGTGTTCTGTCTTCTTGGCACATGTTTAATGTGGTGGAAGGATCTAGAGAGCAAGGTAGAAAGAAAGATAGGATGAAGTTGAAGGTTTATAAGTCAAGCCAAAGGACGGTGACAAGAAAGATGATAAACAACCATTAAGAAGAAAATGAGATTGAAGTAATAGACACAAGCCGAGTGGGGGAAAGCAAAAAAAAAAATGAATGAATGCACGTATGCAGTGCTTCTGAGGGAAAGTAGTTAATAAGTCCTACTTTTGACACAAAAAACCATCGAGTCCTATCAAATTTTTGTTAGGACAAGTGCTATCAAATTCTTATTGGGACTATTAAGTCAGATCTTTGATAATTTGTTCTAAATTGGTTCCAACCTCCATAAACCACACCTTTTCTTATTTAAACCTGAAGTTACACTTTTGTTCATGGTTTTAGTCAATTTTAACTTATTTAATATTAAAAAATAAATTAAATGATTGCCACTGTGTATGATTTTATATAATATTTAACAAGTTATCTAAATGTTGTATAACATTTTATATTATTTTTAAAAAATGGACACTTTTTTGTCAAACTTGATAGTGATAAATAAACTATAATTTTAATAGTTCCTCTAAGTTTCTACCTATTGGACACCAAGTTGTGTTAGTGATTTACATTGTTTTTAATTCCATGAGTTTTATTGTAATAGCATTTTTTACAATCAAAAAGCTAATATTAATGGTGATAGTAAAGTTAGGACTTTTTTGAAATTATATTGAAAAAGTAGGATTTAGTTGTCCTAGAATCCTAGTAAAAAATTGACCGGACTTAATGGATTTCCGTCACAAAAAATAGGACTTTTTTTGAAATTTTGTTAAAAAAAATGTTCTTTGACACCTTTCTNATATTGAAAAAGTAGGATTTAGTTGTCCTAGAATCCTAGTAAAAAATTGACCGGACTCAATGGATTTCCGTCACAAAAAATAGGACTTTTTTTGAAATTTTGTTAAAAAAAATGTTCTTTGACACCTTTCTTGCACCAAATTGTATGAGTAGAAAATCAATAGTACCCAATGGTTTTTGTCGCAGAAGTAGGAATTATTGGTTATTTTCCTTTTTAATGTCCTTTTGATTTTTTTTGGAGAGGATACAATAAGTTGAAACTGTGGAACTTCGTGTATAATCGCTTAGATTGCGTGACATGGTTCTTGGGGTTCATCATAAGCTGCATTCATGTGGAAAGAATTACCAGGCTCGTCTGAAATTCTTGTTTTTCCTTTGATGGGCCCGTAACTTTGGGGGCCACTCTAATTATGGACAATTTGAGGCTCAGATGTACCACTAACACTGGTAGGTGTGGCAGGGGTAGAAGGGTGAAGACTGTCAGTGATGTACTTTTGCACCATGGGTTGACTGGGGATTTGTGGTCTATGTTGCTTTCTCTCTTTTGGTGTTTGCTGGGTTATGCCCTGCTCAGTTTAGCAAAGTTGCATAGTTGTGAAGGACATTGCTTTAGAACAGATTTCAGGAGGTGTAGCTGGTGATGCCCTTGTCTCATTATGTGTTCATGGAGGGAGAATAGCAGATGATCTTTTCAGGCTGAGAAGGTTCAAATTCTCAAGATTTTGGAAGTTATATATTTAGGGAAAGCAGATTCTTTTGTATTCTTTTATTATTTATCTTTTTTCTTTTGGTGTTAGGGTGCTCCTTTTGTATACATCATGTACACGGGATTCACCCATGTTTTGGTGGTTCAGTGTTTTTCGTACCTTCCGATTGTAGGCATATTGTAATCAAGACTTTGTTCTTCTACTACTTTACCAGACTGAGTTGTTGCTTTAATTTTCAAGTTAGTTATCTTGGACATCAATCCCCAGCCTTAAATTTTCATGCATTTCTTCTCCTTTGTGCATTTGTGTATATCGCTTTTCTTTTTCAAAAATTCCAATTTTTTTTTCTAACAATGTTCTCCTTTTCCTATGGACTAGGTCCGGAAACTGTTGGATGATGACCCTGGAAACTCTGAATATGTGGACATGGAAAAGGAGCTTGTGGAGGTGATCGTTGTTCAATTTGTTCGTTTATTTTTTCCCTTGAAAATTTTCTTGTGCATTTTCATTTGATTCTATCTCCAAAACTTTGTAAAGTGGAGCCCCTAAAGTTTGCCCTGTGCAATAAAGTATCTTACCTTTTGTTTTGAGAAAATAGAGTTAATTCCATTGGATGTAAAAAGGATCATCAATTTTTTGGTTATGTAACATGTCATTGCAACTCTCTCTTTCTCTCTGATTGACATATACACAAACAATTGCTCAAACAAACAGATTTTAACAGCCAATGACTGAGGAGATTTGTTTTTATTCTTGGGTTCCAAAGGTGAGGATTCTTTAGTAAAACAAAATTCAATGAAACTCTGTGGAGGTTTTCAAAATTGTTGGAACTAGGGATTGTGTAAGATATCCATCACTTGTGTCTTGGTTACTGTGCAGGTGTGCTATCTGTCATGACGCCCAGCCTGCTTCTCTGTCTCGGGATTTCAGATGTCCTCATTAACATTTTAAGTTTGAATTCATGAAGAATTAAGTCTTCATTATACACCTAATTATTTAAGTTAATTTGGAATTTTCTTTTTTTTTTTTTTGTACTCTAGGTGATTTCTTTGACCGAAGAACTTCTGTCAACTGCGAAACAAAATGAGAATTCTGGATTGTATATTGGGACAAGTTCTGATCCATCTCACAGTTTGCGCCATTCTGGCAGTACCTTTCAGCATAATATGGTAAATCTCCTAAGTTTATCCTACATTATCACTTAAATTTGTGATTAAATATTGTATCTATATATTGGTTGGAAGATTTGCTCTAGGATTTTGTGAAAAAAAAAACAAGATTTACATGAAATGGGACACAAGATAAAAATGTGATAAGATCATTAGAATCATGGTTTGCTTCATGCAAAAAGAATAAATGAAACATTATTTGTTTGCATTAAAATAGTTGAATGGGAAAAAAAAAATGCTTTTGTGAGACTACAATTCTATTCAGACCTAATAAAATTTTCATTAGATCTGGTAATCCCACCATCTTTAGGTAGGGGGAACATCTTTTTATATCATTTAAGACTTGCTGGAGTTTCGGCATCTTTATGAAGGGGCATGGGGAATACTATCTCTCTTAAATTTGCATTTTTTCCTCTCATCCTAGTTTGGGACTGGGGAAGATTGAGGTTTAGCTTATATAGAGCTGGCTTTTGAGTTTGGACAAGAACTATTGTATTATCTTTTTGATGGAGGAGAAGACATAATTACAATCTAGAATTTAGTGTTAAGGGGATAATATGGGAAATATTTATTAAAAATTTGAGACACAGTACAACAGCCTCAGCACAAAAAGCAATAATGGAAATCTTCTTATACAATTTCCCCTGAAAGAGAAAATATCTTCCGAGAGCATGTCAAATACCTGATCTACGACAAATAAAGTTTTATGTGAGGTATGCAACATATCTCACAGGTCACATGTGTGTTTTTCTTAGTTCTCTTGTTTTTTCTCAGGAATCAACAACCATATCTGATCAGTCTGAGAAATTTGCTGTTGGCACTAAAGTTCAAGCTGTTTGGAGTGAAGATGGAGAGTGGTATGCATTGAAAATAGACATATCCAACTTATTTATTAAATTCTTTCATTTTGATTTTGCTTTACCTTTTCTGTTTCTTGTCTGTGGTTGATTTAGTTGAATGTTCAGGTATGACGCAACAATTGAGGCACTTACGCCAAATGGGTATTATGTACGCTATGATGAATGGGGTAATAAGGAAGAGGTATGACTTCTGTTTGAGCATGTTTGAATTATACAAGTTTCTCTTTCATTCACTTTAATTTCCAAATTCCATTCATCTGGTTTTTAATAATTGATGTATCATTCTTTTGAGGCACATGAAGCTTTTGTATTTGTATGTATTTCTTTTTTTGGGGTGTTTTTTTTTTTTTTTTTTTGGGGGGGGGGGATGGTTAAGAGAATATTACACAATTCTGACGGTATAGCTTGTATGAGTCTGTCTAACTGAATTTCCTGTATAGTCATTGTAATTACACTTAATGTTGTTATTAATGCTTAAAATATTTGTTAAGTTTTAGTGTTAATGATTCAAGCAGTATCATTACCATTGACATTGAGCTTTAAAAGAAAAAGAAGAAAATGTAAAAGTTTTCTCTTCCTCATATTGCAATCGTATTGCTTTCCAAATTTAGCACTATCATCATGCTAGGGTGCCACCAGTGCTGTCTGCCCTCAACCACAACCGACATTTCCCCTACTTTTGTCACAACCATTGCAAACTAGAAAGTAATGGTGATCAATATGTTGCGACTATGAAGCACGGACAATCTCGAGAAGGTGACGTATCCATGTTAGACACTGACAATCTTCGGACGGACACTCTTGGACACATGTCCGATACTCTGTTATCTATATCTATAATTAAATGATAAAATTTTAATTTCAGACACGTGTTCGACACTTCTTTAGAACGTATCTACTACTAAATAATAAATGTGTTGAAATATAATTAATAAAGTTTAAAAATTTGAGAACATATAATTACTAATACTAGACATTATAGTTATCAAAATCGTACAATTCAAGATTTGATTCGTACGATTTTACTCGATATAAGTACAAAATGATCCGTATCTTATATAAAAATTGTTTTAGAGTTGAATCTCACCTGAATCATACAATTTGATTCGCATCGCACGATTCAATCACTTTTTTTTTAAAACCCAAATTTTTTACAAAACAACATCGTTTTGTTCGCTAAACAGTAAAATGACTTCGTTTTGTTTGTAGAGAAACCCATGCCCTAATAAAAACTCAACCTCTTTGCTTGTTCTTTCTCTAACGTCGTTTAAAGTTTGTCTTGCGTTGTCTAAAGCTAAAGGTCACGGCTAACGCTTTCGCATCATCTGTTAATTTTTGCTCTCAATTCTTTCATATGTAGTTTGTTAGATTCTAATTTTTTGTTTAAAAATGTTGACTTTTATGTTTTTTCTCAATCAATTTTCTTGTTTGTTCTTTTTTCATTCATGTTTGTAACCTAATCTATACTCGTTGTCACTATTTTGGTTCTTAAATAGCCATGGTTCTTTATTGAATTTTTTTTCAAGTTGTTTAATTTGAAAATAGTTAAGTAAAAGATGAAAATGAAGCAAAAGGCTAGCATCTTTCCATTTAGACTATGTGATTATGTTAATTGATTATTTTTAGAATGCAATAATATTCAATATTCAATATTTTATCTATTTTAAATATGTAGTATTATTTTTTATTTTTGTTCAAATTTTGTGTCGAATCTTACAATTCACAATTCTCAAATATAGAATTTCGATTCATAATACGAATTACGATTTGACACCTATGCTAGACATGTTAAAGTTGTACTCCAAATATAATAATAAAAATAAAAGATGAATAAAAGTTTTAAAAAAAAAGAATCGAAAAAATGAGAGCAATTATTTAAATTATATATTAGGTACTCATTATCTACAAAAAAATTGATGATTATTAACTATTATAAAGATACTTTAGTCTAAAAATTCACACTGCATGACTAGACAAAAGATTTACTTATTATAAAATACTGAATATTTTATGCATTGTATATCATTATTACTATATTTGCAATAAATTATATAATTTTATATATAAAATATATTTTTTTGTAGCGTATCCTCAATCTGTCAGTGTTCTACTTTTTTAGAAATGCCGAGTTCGTGTCGTGTCCCGTGTCCGTGTCCGTGTCCGTGACTGTGTGCGTGCTTCTTAGTGTTGCGAAAACCTTAAGTGATCTTTGTTGCGACTTTTGAAGGATTGATACTTGCATTATTGTTTGGATCGTTCGAAGAAATACTTTTGAGTCATTTTGTCTTACTGTAACTTATGTAGAAGATTACAATTTAAAAATATTCATCTCAAAACCAATTGACAGCAAGTAGAGAGACCTACAAGGCTCATATGTTAAGTTGGGAGGTAGATGAGCGGTACCAGCCCACACTCATTCGACTCCTAGTCATACTTGGAGAGATCAACAGAAGAATAATAAGGCAAATGTAGAGGAATAACAATTGCACTTATGACACACACAAAGGGGGAATCAACTTCTAAATCGAAGTAACCCTTCACAAATCTAGCTCTGATACGATGTTAGAGAATTACACTCAAAATCGAATGGCAATAAGACTCATATTAATTGACAATTGTGTATCTTCTAAGTCTTTAACCAAATCAATGATTGATGGTCCATCAAGCCCATCATTTTCTCCATTTTTTAAGATTAGGAAGGCTAAAATGTCGCTTAAGGTGCACGTTTTATTTCTCGTGGCTAAATTCGCATCAATAATATGTATCAAATAAGAAAGGCCTAAAGCTTGTATCTCTCCGCAATGTGTGTCATGTGTCGGAGTAATAGTGAAAGTGTTATTTGTCCATTGCCATATTGCATTATTGTTATGGAATAACATGTTTAACTACATAGGTTTGAGGTGGGTGAACCCCAAGTCTATTTCTTCCATGTTTGTTGTGGAGTTTAGGGATTTTGGGAGAAACATAAAATATTATACTCTTTGGATTGTGCAATTTCTACTATTGTTTCGGTTATTTTGTTGGAAAAAAATGGTAGAATATTTGGAGATAGGTGTTAGGTGGTGGAAGACTTTTGGGATCAAATCTATTGTTTAGCACTTTTTTGAGCCTTGGTTGCCAAGGACTTTACGATTTGGTTTATATAAGTATCTTATGATTTATATGTATTTATTGTTGATAGGATGTCTTTTTTTGGATGGATGACTTATCCATCTTTTTTCTTACTCATGTATTACATTTCTAGTAATAATTAATTATGTTTGTTTTTATTTTTTAAAAGTCATGTTTGAATTACAAATAAGCATATCATGACAATTTTCAAATTGGGCAGCAAAGAATAAAATATTTGAACTCCCTTTGTCCTGTTAGGCAGCACAGATACTTCTTGGAGGGTGCCGTGGCAATGTTGGACACGTACATGAGTCGGATACGACCGAATACGTGTTTGACACGGCTAGAGTTGTTAGAATTGTCCAGAATAGTGAATTCAGTCAGACATGACCATGATTTTTTTTTAATTAAAAAAAACGACTATTAACTATGAAAAGGGGGTGATTTTGTAGTTTTTTTTTTTATTTATATTTTTTGTTATGTAACTTATATACTACGAATGTTAATGGATGTAATGATGTTTAATGAAAATGTTGGATATTTATTTTGACCTATTTCAATTTCAGTCAAAAAATTAATATTTATTAGGTCTTATTGTTAATATTATCATAACATATGTTTTTTAAATATATTATAACTTTATTATTGTCTAAAAAATATATTATATCACTTTAATAGCCGTACCAGTGTCCTATATTTTCGAACTTCGTCGTAGCGACATATTTGTATCTGATACGGTATGACACCCATATCTGTTCTTCCTAGCTGTCTCGTATTTACCATCCATTTTTCAGTTGTTTGGGTTTCTTTCTTCAAATGATAGTACAGATTGAAAAATCAATTTAGAATACTTGTTGATTTTAACAGTTAAGTTACTCTCAAAAACATTCGAAGGTTAAATAAAATATGTATTTTGCTCATTAATATACCGTGCTGCCCACTTTAGGTAGGTGGAATGGAAATCCACCTTGGCATCTTAAAGTGGGACTAATTTGGTCTTGTTAATATCTCTAGACTCTTTTTACTTGAGTTTTTCTTCCATTTTTACTTGGTGTTCTAAAGTAGGACTGCTGTCAATACAGCTAGGGTATACTGCCATCAGGATTTGCCATCACTGTGGTCATTGCCACAATTACTATTGCCTTTTGCAATTATTTGTCTCACCAACATCACTCCCTCTTGTATTTTTCTGCTCTTCATAAAAATCCTGCTGTTAGCAGTTACCGGGCATGCTTGGCATTTGATTTCAAAAAGCTTAAGCGACTGGGGATCTATGATATCAACTCATCCTGGCAATTCAATAGAACCCAACCTTCTGTGTCTCATCTCTCTCTCTATATAAATAGCAATTTGAATTCTCTTGGCTTTTGGCAGTCAAATATATCATTAACTACTGTGTAATATTTGGATCTCTTGGAAATTTTCCAAGAGAGTTATCAGGTTCTGAGTCATCCACTCTTGGCCCATTTGTTATTATTATTTTAATGCATTTTGCTCTGCCATTGTCTACTTACAAAGAATCATTCGAAGCATTATGTGTTACTGTTTCTTGTTACCAGGTTGATCCTGCTAATATTAGGCCAGTTGAAGAAGGGACTGTAAATACTCTGCTGGAAGCTGAAAGGGAAGCTGAAGCTACAAAACAAGCTCTTAAACGTAAAATTGCTCAAGCTGCCGCTGCAGACTTCCAGTCACGGAGTTTACCAGCCAAGCTTCGAATTGATCCTGATGACCCTGAAGATGTGGTATGTTTGATGTACATTTTTTGACCATTATCAAGGTGGAACAAATGATATGTCTAATAAAGGTCAAGTCCTTAGGACACAGGCTGTGGTTGATATTCTACTTTCTAAAATTGTTATGGCCCCAACCCAAAAACCAAAGTAACCTTAAACCATTTTTTGGGGGGCTCTTGGATTACGTAGTGTGTAGGTTCAGTTCAGTATCAGTTTGTTAACATTGAATTTTTTCCTGTTATTTAATTTTTTGTGTTTGGGGTTTCTTTTTTCCAATTGTTGGTTCATTTTTATACCTGCTAACCTCCTACATACATGAAACAGAAAGCTGCCAAACGTAAAAAGATACATGCGTTTAAGTCAAAGGTGCGGATGGAGCAACTTGAAGTCACACAGAATAAGAGGCAGAATGCTTGGCAGCAATTCCAGACAACTAAAGGCCAGGCCAAGAAGGTACATTTTGCTGCTCCTATTGCACTTGTGAAAACTGCTAGTTGGTCATTTTTACAACCATTTCCTCTCTTTATATAGCATGTGAAAGTGCTCACCCATATTAAACAATTATCATTGTGCTGTCTTTTGAAATGTAGTGGGAAGGATCAAATTAATTCTTTTGATTTCATCTTGCATGTTGTACTAATAGGAGTTGCTGGCTTCAGTTCCTCACTAGAACCTGTTTGTATGACTCCGAGTAATACTTCACTCATATAGTTTTCCATATTGGATCCATAAGAGGCCGACGTTCTCTTTGAGTCTATCAGACTTTGCCAACGTCAAGTATGGCCCCACCCATTGCTTATCGTGAATTATGCCACCTAAATTATTTTAAATTGTCAGTTTGTGAGAGGAAGAGAAACCGCGTGCCCCCCGGGGGGGGGGGGGAATTGTCCTCTACAAGCACACATTTACATTCTCCCCCCATATTGTTTTTCTTTGAGACTGTTGGAGTTATAGTCTAGTTATTAGAGTTTCTTTTCCCTTTTTTACCCTTATTATGACTTTTATATTTTGCCTAGACCACAAAGGTGTTTAGTTCATTTTTACTGTTGTTTGGTTATATATATGAGGCTCTACTCTTAGTTTGGATATCCCTTTTCCACTCATAGTTATTTCTAGTTGGTATCAGAGCCAAACTCATACCCTAACCCTACCCTCACCTCCACCATAGACTCTACCATAATCAGCAACCATAACCCCGGCAGCCAACCATCCACCCAACCCGCAGCACACAGTTGCTCCGGTGAAACCTCTTGGCCAAGATCACCGACTGCTCAGGCCACCTACCATCCCAGCGACAAACAGCAACTCAGTTGCTCTGGCGAACCCACCCAGACCAGTCACTAACTTCACCGAAACATCATCCCAGCACCGAAACCAAGACCAGCCACCGACTGCCCGGGCCTCCCACCAAAAACTACTAAACCCACTGCCCCAACATCCCAGCATACAATACCCACAAGCCAAATTAAAAAAAAAATCAAAAACAATGATCATACCCAATTCCCTAGCCACCCCAACCCAACCCAGTGATGAACCCAGACCAGCCCCAAACCCAACCCAGTACCCACTCCAACAAACTAGCCCACTGTTGGGTCGCGTTCTTTCTCACAATTTTGTGTTTTGCCTTTGTGCTCTTCGTCGTAGTGTCTCCTTCTCTTCGCGCTACTGCCTTTTTTTCTTAGGGTTGCAACGTCTAGGACCTTTTAAGAGGGGTTGAATCCTCTTCTACGTTGATTTGCTCTTGATATAGTAAATCACTTATTTATATTTACTGGATTTTTGGGCACCGTAACCCTGATTATTTGAGAGCTTTCTGGACCTTCTTTATCTGTCGCTACTGTTCGACTAGAAGTATATTATTCTCTCTTATTTTGTCCCTTATTTTTCTGTCACGGTTGCCCATGTATTGTTATAACTATGACTACTACTAAGGGACTAGAAACTCCTACCATTGAGACCTCTACTGTTGAGACATTTGCTGTTAGTACTTCCATTTGGAATGTACCACCTGATTTTCCCACTTTTATGTTTGACCAGTATACTATACTTACTGGCACAGTTGCATTACCGGTAATGCCGGGTATGATCTCTTTGAAGGTTACGACAACTATTGAATAACCGTAACTTTGCTGAGTGGTCACGCTTATTCCACCTTTTCTTAGGCCGTGTAGGGAAGTTTAGTTGGTTGACAGGATCTCACCCAAAGCGGGCTGATGACGACCCTAGATATTCTGCGGGGTTCTCTGAGAACTTTGCTATTCTTGGATGATTATTTGGCTCGATGGAGCCCTCTGTTTGCAGGATTCACCAGTTTTATAACTCTGTTCCGAAGCTATAGAGTGCATTTGTGAATCTTCTATCCTTATATTCCACTTATTTCCACATTTAATTTCTCCTTTACTTTCCAGATTGGTTTCTTCTCGGGCCGCAAGCGAGAGAGCATCTTCAAGTCCCCTGACGATCCATTTGGAAAGGTAGGTGTGACTGGAAGTGGAAAGGGTTTGACAGATTTTCAGAAGAGAGAAAAACACTTGCATCTCAAGGGAGCAAACGCCGAGTCTACTGACGATTAAGTAAACATTTTTGTGTTATTTTGTATCTGTTTCCTCGGGCTCACTTGTGGCCAACCAGTTTCAAATAGAGTTTAGCATCATCTTAAAATTCACTGTGCACTGTGTTAGGATTGTAGATTTAGGAAGCCAGTTGATCTCATATGAACTGTTAATTTCTGATTGTCAGTTAATGGTTTCCTCCTAAACATTTTTGGTTTTTCGTTATTTTATTTTTCACCAAGCAACGCTGATATCAGTTTTGTTGTTTCTTCTTGTTAGTACCTTCTGATAGAGGTCCGTAGAAAAATCTATTCCCATCAGCTCTCTATGATGATGGTATATGTGGTTGTGGCTGTAAGGTAATTAATTGGATGAAATTTATGTCCCAAAAAATCAAGAAGTTGGAAGGTGAAGGCACATGGCGTTATCCGAGACCAACAGATGACATAGTGCCTATAGAAACGTCATCTCCTTTTGGGAAAGAAAACCCCATTCTGAACCTCTTTCTCAGGGATCGAGGCCGACATTTAGAGGAAGTCTCCTTGCAGAACTAAGCAGAAGGGTGAGCAGGATGAAGCAAGTAGCAAAGGACATAGTTTCGTCGAACTTACTAAGGCAAAAGAAGAAATCCAAGTCATTGATTGAGCTAGCAAAGCCTGGTACCGTATCTCCTTTGGCATCGAAGTCTTCCCCAGAATTGTCTGTACAAATGTTGGCCAGTGGGTTTAATCGTAAGTCTTTACTCATGCCTNAAAGAAGAAATCCAAGTCATTGATTGAGCTAGCAAAGCCTGGTACCGTATCTCCTTTTTGGCATCGAAGTCTTCCCCAGAATTGTCTGTACAAATGTTGGCCAGTGGGTTTAATCGTAAGTCTTTACTCATGCCTGAATTGATTTCTCATCCCTGGTGGATAGCTAGAGGTTTTTTTGCTACAACTAAACTGTCCTCTTAATATTCAAAACGAGGGAAATAGCAAAGGAAATGAAAAGGTACAAGCAACCAAAGTGTCCTGGCTGCATGAACTTCTGTACTAAGACACTTGAAGAGTCTTTTAACATGAAGACTAGAACCCCTAATAGGGTTAGGCATGATTGATGGAAGCATAATATAAATGGATGTAACTTAATGATATCTGCTTGTTATGCTATACCTATCACAATAAATAAAGATAGAGGCAGGGGAGGGCTTTTGAACGGGGGGGACATGAAATGCCTATAATACCCTTTCTTTTTCTGCTTAACCACTCAATCNTCCCCAGAATTGTCTGTACAAATGTTGGCCAGTGGGTTTAATCGTAAGTCTTTACTCATGCCTGAATTGATTTCTCATCCCTGGTGGATAGCTAGAGGTTTTTTTGCTACAACTAAACTGTCCTCTTAATATTCAAAACGAGGGAAATAGCAAAGGAAATGAAAAGGTACAAGCAACCAAAGTGTCCTGGCTGCATGAACTTCTGTACTAAGACACTTGAAGAGTCTTTTAACATGAAGACTAGAACCCCTAATAGGGTTAGGCATGATTGATGGAAGCATAATATAAATGGATGTAACTTAATGATATCTGCTTGTTATGCTATACCTATCACAATAAATAAAGATAGAGGCAGGGGAGGGCTTTTGAACGGGGGGACATGAAATGCCTATAATACCCTTTCTTTTTCTGCTTAACCACTCAATTGTGTCCTTGACAAAATTCATATGGGTATTCATTTATGAGTAATATTATGTCATGTGACCTAATAATGTTGATGGAATTATGTTAATATCAAGTTTCAATGTTTAATGCGGTCCTCTATAAATCCNATGATTGATGGAAGCATAATATAAATGGATGTAACTTAATGATATCTGCTTGTTATGCTATACCTATCACAATAAATAAAGATAGAGGCAGGGGAGGGCTTTTGAACGGGGGGACATGAAATGCCTATAATACCCTTTCTTTTTCTGCTTAACCACTCAATTGTGTCCTTGACAAAATTCATATGGGTATTCATTTATGAGTAATATTATGTCATGTGACCTAATAATGTTGATGGAATTATGTTAATATCAAGTTTCAATGTTTAATGTGGTCCACTATAAATCTAAAGACTATAGTGAATTAAGTTAATAAATTAGATCAATAAATTATGTCACAATAGTATTGCTCTTGATTTATTTTATCTGGTCATTCTGGGTCCTAAGACCAGAGTCATTCTAGGAGCTTGAATGATATATTCATCTTCAAATATATCTAACCATCATCTTGCTCAAGAACTGGAAATAAAACTCTCTCTCTCTCTCTATAGATCACTGAATGACAGGTGCTAGCTATTATCAAATCCAGGACTAAAGGGTAGAGCTAGATTNTAATTGGATGAAATTTATGTCCCAAAAAATCAAGAAGTTGGAAGGTGAAGGCACATGGCGTTATCCGAGACCAACAGATGACATAGTGCCTATAGAAACGTCATCTCCTTTTGGGAAAGAAAACCCCATTCTGAACCTCTTTCTCAGGGATCGAGGCCGACATTTAGAGGAAGTCTCCTTGCAGAACTAAGCAGAAGGGTGAGCAGGATGAAGCAAGTAGCAAAGGACATAGTTTCGTCGAACTTACTAAGGCAAAAGAAGAAATCCAAGTCATTGATTGAGCTAGCAAAGCCTGGTACCGTATCTCCTTTGGCATCGAAGTCTTCCCCAGAATTGTCTGTACAAATGTTGGCCAGTGGGTTTAATCGTAAGTCTTTACTCATGCCTGAATTGATTTCTCATCCCTGGTGGATAGCTAGAGGTTTTTTTGCTACAACTAAACTGTCCTCTTAATATTCAAAACGAGGGAAATAGCAAAGGAAATGAAAAGGTACAAGCAACCAAAGTGTCCTGGCTGCATGAACTTCTGTACTAAGACACTTGAAGAGTCTTTTAACATGAAGACTAGAACCCCTAATAGGGTTAGGCATGATTGATGGAAGCATAATATAAATGGATGTAACTTAATGATATCTGCTTGTTATGCTATACCTATCACAATAAATAAAGATAGAGGCAGGGGAGGGCTTTTGAACGGGGGGGACATGAAATGCCTATAATACCCTTTCTTTTTCTGCTTAACCACTCAATTGTGTCCTTGACAAAATTCATATGGGTATTCATTTATGAGTAATATTATGTCATGTGACCTAATAATGTTGATGGAATTATGTTAATATCAAGTTTCAATGTTTAATGTGGTCCACTATAAATCTAAAGACTATAGTGAATTAAGTTAATAAATTAGATCAATAAATTATGTCACAATAGTATTGCTCTTGATTTATTTTATCTGGTCATTCTGGGTCCCAAGACCAGAGTCATTCTAGGAGCTTGAATGATATATTCATCTTCAAATATATCTAACCATCATCTTGCTCGAGAACCGGAAATAAAACTTTCTCTCTCTCTCTCTCTCTATAGATCACTGAATGACAGGTGCTAGCTATTATCAAATCCAGGACTAAAGGGTAGAGCTAGATGCCATGAAAAGTGAATTGCATGGAGGGACCATGGTAGTCTGTAGCCAACATTTTGATAAGCATTGAGGGAGTGGTGTTAGGAGGATTGGAACTAGTTCTCTAGCAAGGAGGGGAGGTGCTCAGCTCCAATACCCAAACATGTTTGAGACATGTCCCTCTACAGGAAGGTAAATGATTGAGAAAAAGAACAAGAAAATGAGGACATCATTATTGGTGGTTTTGCTAATGGATCATCTCTCTCTCTCTCTGAATTACCTTTCTTGTTGACTTTACGGATACAGGTCTCATTATGTTCCATGAACATCCATCACATCGTATGGTGGTTAGATTTGCTCTGAGGGGTCTCCTTTTCTTCAAAGAACTAAGTGCAAGGGCACTAGCCCACCACTACTTACATGTTGTCGTCCTGTCATTTTTAAAAGAATGTGACAAGATCCTCCCCATGATCAAGGGATGACACTGATGTAGTAAAGCAGAATGCATTGAACCTTTTAAATGGGATTGTGCCCAATTCCTATTAGACCCTTTTGGACCAGTTATAGGATCGTAGGGACCCTTGGAAAAATATAATTCAAATAAATGTGGTTTGACACATTATACCTACCTCCATGGATCATAGTTAAATGAGCTATATGTATGATGTATTGATGGTTATTCTTTATGTTAAACTCAACCCTATTTATAAGATGAGGACATATATTAGATAAACAATCAAATTTTTTCAAAACTGATCATATCCAGATAATAAGGGATCCCGATCGATCTCATTGATAGACAAACATCTTATTTCACCTTGCATCTTCAACCATATACTTGTGTAAGAGAGGATGAGAGATTTATTCATGGGTTTACCAGCTAAGCTAAGGTGCCATTACAAATAGTACCTTCTATACATTTTACAAGCATTATCAGCCTAAAAGGAGCCCTTATGGCATTCTTTAATTTTCTCTATTTCAATACAATATTCAAGTGGAATGTTAGAGAAACATTCACTTGAAATGATACAATTTCATTCAAGGTATATTGTCATCTACCACAAATTTTGTGGAGTTCAAATTGGAGTGCTGTAAGTCTCTGTTTTCCGAATCATGTGGTGGTGTGGCTGATGGAGATAGATGATAAGAATACCATTTAGCCCAAAAGAGATAATTAAAGAAGTTGATAAAGCTTAGAACTGCTAGCAACCAGTAGAAGTAGTCCAGCCTATCTTTGTTGAGATCATTTTCACTGAGCCAACCGCCACTGGACGAACCAGAAGTGATCTTATTCACCAGGGAAACAAGCACAGAGCTTAAGTAGAACCCAAAAGAATATGAGCAATAGGTTATGGCCGTTAAAAATGATTGCATACCCTTTAAGGACTGTTTGTAAAAGAACTCAATCAGACCAACTGCTGTGAACATTTCGGATAATCCGAAAATTAAGAACTGTGGGGTGATCCAAAAGATAGATATTGTTTTGTTTGAATTCACAGCTTCATTCCTTCTTTTATTCTCCATAAGGGCAGCTGATACCATAGAAAAGGTCACGAAAAAGAGACCGAATCCTATCCGTTGTAAGGGTGTGATTCCGGAGTCATGACCAGTGAATTTTCGGGCAAATGGGACAAAGAAAGTGTCATAGAGGGGGACTATGAAAATTATCATAATGTAAGGGATGGCTTGAAGCGAGGCCGGGGGGATATGGAAGTTTTCGGTGAGCTGTGTGTTCATGACACTTCCTTGTTGGACTGAGAATGTCTGGAGTTGAGCCAAAATGGTGTTGAAAACAATGGTGCATGCAAATATTGGAACAACTGAGATCAGTATCTTTACTTGCTCAACTTGAGTCACTGTGCACAGCCTCCACTGGCTTTCCTTCTTATTAGTATTCCGTTCTTGGATTTTGATGCAGGCCTTGTCCAAGAATCTGAAAGTTTTCATATACTTGTTAAGCAAATTGATTAAGAGTTTCAGAGATAAATATTTTATTTTGCAGACTGTTGATGATAACCATAGCCAAGATTTAGTATTTAGAGTCCTGTCAAAGTCTGAAATTGAGGCAACTATGCCAAAAGGTCACAATTTTTTAAATGAATTATGCCAAAGAAAAAAAAAATTAAAGGAAAAATTGGATCTATCTATAAATAAATACTATAAAACCGAAATTCTAGAGCGAACTACCATCTACTTTAAAAACTTAAACTGTTTGAGAGAGGTGTAAAATAAATAATATCTCATACTTCTCCCAACCTACCTCTCTTTTTGGGTGGTCAATCCACGTGATTGTATTGCGTAGCTAGGGAGAAGGGGTAGTTGCAAATGAAGGCCAAACTTTAAGCAAAAAGGAAGACTGAAAAGGTATACTGTTCACGATTACCTAAACCTATCAGTATGATGAAGAAAGCCAACATTGTTGCACATGGCTGCATTGCTATCAGAAACTTTGTTTTGGTGGCCATGGATCATTTCTGGATTGGAAGGACAAACTTGCTTTCTCTTTGCAATTGCAGCTACAAAGACCTGAAAAAGAAAGAAAAAGAGGAGAGAGAAGGGAAAGCCCATTAAGTTATTGAAGAAAGCCAGATCATCCGACAAATATTACTGTTCCCTTGTAAAGAGACACACTAGCAATAATCAAAGAATCTGAATCAGAATATGGCATTTTTATTAACTTACTAGATAAGTTAGGCAAGACATTATTTAATTTATAGAGGACAAGAATGCACACATAATCAAAGGAATCAAACAGTTCAGCCCATTGTTTATCATAAAAACACTTAAAACACCATACCAAATCCAGGTCATTATTACTAGGCAGCATAGTCAATGGCATCAAAGACTACGAGGAATGATTAGGAAGAGACTATGCTCAAAGAACTGGTGAAACATAGAATTTCATTGATTTAATTCAAANATCAAAGACTACGAGGAATGATTAGGAAGAGACTATGCTCAAAGAACTGGTGAAACACAGAATTTCATTGATTTAGATCAATGGAAAATGTATCCTAGTCTCTCGAAATGTGACAGGGATAGTCACCTATCATTGGGGTGGGTTGTGAGATTATCCTCTTTCAGATATAGTTGATTTATTTGTTGAGTAAGAGCATCTCCAAGAAGCTAATAATTTGGTATTTATTAACTAAAATAAAGAGTCAAACCACAAAATTGTACTCCACGTGTCAAGCTATGCAATATTTTGACTTAAAATATTAATAGTAGTTAATTAAAATCGAGAGTATGGTTGGAGTAACTTGTAAAAATGACTCTTTAAAATAAAAAATATAATATTTTAATGTATTTTGAGTAATTATTTTGAAGAGTATGCTTAGAAATGCTCTAACTCTTGAGATTGTACCTTATTCTATATGTTTTTTGCATAGAGTTTCCTTCTCCATATAGTGTTTATGATGTTCAAATCCTCTAAGATACGATGATTCTTTAAATATGTCATCTCTTTCAAGTTTTGATCACTAACTTTACTAACTTGAATTTTTTTTTATTTTGACCAACTTTGACTTCATATTCGCATGTTATAATCGCATAATTTCTGACATATCTTGAACTATATTATATGTCTAATTTTTTTTATTCATGAAACTCTTTTAATTGATACAAATATATCGTCAAAGAGAAATGTCAACTTTTTTTCCGTTACTAAATAAACTACAACATTAATACAAAGAAATATTAGAACAGCTTAATAGTACCTGAGCAATTGGGGTCAGGATGCTTCCTTGAGGACGTTTATTCCTGTAAAGAAATATACCACAAACTAAGCTGATCAACCCCATTGCCATGACAGCTGCCGAGACTCCGAACCCGACGTCCATGCCCGAATGAGTTTGGACCCAAACCAGAACAGTTAGGGCAACAAGTTCACCCATAGAGAAGGCAAAGTAGGCAGCATTGAAGTAGGTGGAGAGCCTCTTGGACTGTTTTGTGTCATCTCTATTGAATTGGTCGGCACCATGAGCTATCATGTTGGGTTTAACACACCCACTCCCTAATGCCACTAAATAAAGTGCCACAAAAAAGATTAAGGCCTTCAGGCCCTTTGCTTCCAAACACTGGTCTCCATTGGTCACCATGTTGCAAGGGGGTGGCTTTAGTTGGGGAATATGGGCTTGGACTGACAATAATATGAAACCCTATAAAATTAACACAAACCCATGTGTTATTAGCCACAAAAAATATGTAAAAAAATTTACGAGACATATGCAAACACATGTATGTATATATATATATAGGCTTTGAGAGACATTATTGTAGGTATTTTGACTTTGAGTGTACTCTCTTAGAGTGCATACCCGGGTGCTCGCTTGCTCCTGTACCCTCTTTTCGGGTTGTTTTGAACGTCATTGTAATATATATTTTTTTGGATTAGTGAATAACACACAAGTGTTAGCACAATCCTATATCAAATGGGTTTAAGTGAAAAAAAAAATTGTGTTAGTATACCAAATTTGATACAACTTTCTCTGAGGTTGAGCTTAAATTTTTAGATAAGATTTGAATCCACCTTGTATGTAACCCAAACTATAACAACTAGCAATAAAGTAAAGAATAGAATTTCAGCCACTTTTGGTGGTGGCCGGAGAGAGAGAGAGAGAGAGAGACAAAAAAGTGAAGTGAGAAAGGGAAATTTGAGAGGAAGACTTACAGAAAGTTCCACAAAACCAAAGATAAGCATGGTCCAAAAGCACCCAAGGTAGGAATCTGAGAGGTAGCCTCCAAGGAGTGCAAGGATGAAGACAGTCCCTATAAAGTTTGTCACTATATTTGCAGACTTTGACAAAGAAAAGTGCATCTCGTTTATCACGTATGTTATGAGGTTGTTCCCAACAGCTGCTATTGCCATTATCTCAAATCCTTGAAGCCCTGAATTTCAGACATACCATATAAATGATCAAGAAGTACCAGGAGAGAGAGAGAGAGAGAGAACGAAGAAATGATATTTTTTAAGCCATTCATTCCTATTCAATATGGATTCCATTGTTTTCATTACCAAATATCTATTGCAATACCCATTCTAACAACTTATTCAAAAATGAAAGATAGAATGAGAATCTGGCGAAGAGGGAGAGAGAGAAATGAGAGCAAGGAAAAAAAAATGCCAAGCAGAATCCAGTAACCAAAATCCAAATGATTTATAATTTTTTGGGCATCAACTGATCCCTAACCCCTCAAACACAGACAAGAGGACACACACGTACACAAACATATACAGAGAGAGAGAGAGAGAGAGAGAGAGAGAGAGAGAGAGAGAGAGACCAAGAACAAAGGCAGCAGCTTTCATTCCACCATGCCTGTTGGGGTTGGAAGGTCTGCCTTTCCAATCAACAGTAGTCTCTTCAGCCATATTATTATCTCCTTTGAAGTCCTGTCTTCTTGTTGTCTCCATGTCCATTGTTCTTCTTTCCTCAGTACTCTCTCTTTCTCTCTCAAACACACAAACACACAGAGAAGAGAACAAATACTCGATTTTCAGACCTCTCTCTTCACTATTTTTATGTGAGGACACTGAGGAGAGTCGTGAAGGTGTTGCCTTACTCTCTGTGCTGAATTTGAGGCGAGTTGTCTAGTTTGGGTTGTCCTAAATTTATATATAACTCAATGGTACGGTCCTATTGGTTATGTTTGCGACTGTTAGAGCTGTGTGGTGTAATTTGGGACACGATATGCATACGAAAGTATCACACCTTGCTCAGTATCAATAATAAATGAATCCAATTAATATTAAGTAAGAATAATTTGCAAAGTGAAACTATTTAAACGGAATGATTGTTCGTATATCTATTTTACTTCTAATATTATATGAATAGCTGTAAGATAAATGATCTTTAATATGATTTTTGTCGGATGTCAATTAAAATAAAATTTTAATGCATGTGAATGTGGGGATTTGGGCAGCCAATAGTATGGGCTTAATTTGCGGCAAATCATATTTATTATTTGTTGATGACTACGAGCGTTGGAGGTTTATTATGTGAGCAATGATATTTCAACATAAAATATTAATTTTTATATTGATTTAATTGTGGGTAGTAATATTTATTGATATATATTATTTATTTAATAATTATAATTAATTTTTATATTGATTTAATATTGGATCCTAATAGTTATTGGAATTTATTATTTATTCAATGATTATGATAAATTAAGTCAACATTTTAAGTTTAAATAATAATTTTCTTATGAATTTGATTATGATAGGACAAAAAATGAAATTTTGGTATCATACAAAAATTTATTATATATGTGAGTATTTTTACCATTGTTGTGGATATTTTTATGGTAAAAAAAAATCTACAAATGTAGTAAATTACACATAAAAATAGTAATTTTTTTTTACCAAAGAAACATTATAAAAATAATTACCACAATAGTGATTAAAACATTTATTATAATGATAAAAATAACTACAAAAGTGATAAATTGAATTATAAAATAATTCACAAAAATTATAAAAATAATAAATTTGTAAGATATAGTACTAAAATTTTTTTTTGGGTACCGTAATCTTCTTCTCTAATTACGTGGGACTTGGTATAAAGTTGTCAACCGGTCTAATTTTCTCATACTTTGAAGAGGTTTTACGTTATTAAAAAAAATAAAAATTTTCTAATTTGTAAAATTAAAATAACATAATTTTAACTCGACATAACTATAAAACGGGACAATAGAAATGACATAACCTACATTTAACACGAGACGACTTATTATCACACAACTCGAATATAAGGCCCTAATTAAACGGCACTCCCCC